TTTTTTTTTTTGATTTATAATGAACTTTAATATGTACCATTTGGTTCACCACTTTTTGCCATTTCTCCGCTAGATACATTACTCTATCACCTTTCTGGTTTCTCGACGAAAAACACCGCCAAGTAATTTTCGCAGAGATGTGTGGTCCAACGTTGTGCTGTTGGAAGACGAAGCCCTTTCTGTTGATCAGTTACGGCCATTTTTTTTTTTTTCAATTGCTTGCTTCAATCCCATCAGTTGTTGACAGTAAAATGTAAAATCAATCGTTCGACCAGGCTGGATGATAGTGGATGATTCCTTTCCAATCCCACCAAACACTCAGTAAAACTTTTCGAGCCGTCAATCATGGCTTTACTACCTGATCCTTTTCGCACATTATTGTCGAATTTGATCCACTTTTCGTCTTCTGTGCCATTCGCTTCAGAAATGGTTCGGTTTCATTTCGTTTCAACAAAGAATTGCAGACGTTAATTCGGCCCATTAAGTCTTTCTTAAAAAAAACCCCAAACATTGAACTAAATGTTAAGTTTCTTAGCGAAGTCACGGTCCTGATCAGTCGTTTCCATAACTTCAACGACCTTTTCAACGATAGCTCAACCAGAGCGAGGTGCATCTTTCACATTGAAATTTCCAGAACAGAAGCGAGCGAACCATCACCGAAAGAGTGAGAAAGGCTAGCAATACCTTATATGCCTGTAAGCAGATGCCTGCCACCTTTAGACTTCTTCGCTGTAAATTGCGCTGCAAAACTGACAGTTCAACTGCTGGATGCAGGAGAATTTACATATAGAACCTATCGAAAATGGCGCAGTAAGTATTGGCAGTTTGACTACATGATCCCACTTTTCAGAAGTACGGGTAGAGAGTGAACCCGTAAACATAGAAAAAGATGGTTGCCGAAACTGTGGCATATGTTAGCGACGCGCAACACCTTAAATATTGATATGGATGGCTCGAAAATGGAGCATGGAGTTGGTGTGAGGACATAGTGTCTAGAGTTAGACATAAGACAGCCTTTTAAGTTGCTGAACTACAGCAGCAAACAAGATAATAACCTCGAAGCAAGGCAGCAGTGGAATGTGTCGCCAAGCACAAGCGACTTCAATTCTACTGAATGCGAGGTAAGAAAAGCATCAGTAGCAATGAGATAATGGACGAGGTAGTCAAGAGTGGTCTACGGCTGTCATCTGTTAACGTGTTCAGCATTGGTAAACGTATGATTTGTCTTTTCGACGAACTGGACAAGAGCATGGCAAGGAAGATTAAACTTCGATGGAATGATCTATCGGGACTATAAAGATCATGTGCCAAGCGGTATATCAAAAATACATATTTGCACTTGCAAGGCAAAACTTCAAACACTTGGGGGCCCACAGTATGAGAACCTGGAAGAGGGGTCGATAGTGAAGACACAACCCCTATTGAAATTCACGCCCAACGCTGGCATCCTGAATGATAACTACTTCTTATTATTGTCAAGGTACTCCATCTGGCATCGCCTAACCAAACCTAACCTAACATAACCCAAAGGGAAAGAACCAAAAATAGGATGCTTAGATTTACGGACATTGGGACTTACTAACTCATTTTCTTTGCATGCAACCTATCGGAAATATCAAAGATTTCTCGAATGTCTCCTAACTGATATCCACATAATAATACAGAAATTTTTAAACTACAAATTTTGAACATTTGGTAACTCTACCGACGGAAATATATTTAAAATATTGATGTTTTGACGTGGATATCAAAATATTAAATATATATTTTATCCAGTTAATTTCTTTTTCAAATGGCAACCAGGGTTGCACAAAATGCAATAAAAATGGGTTGAAATAATATTTAAATTTTTTTTTTTCCATATTGCTCGCACATGACAAATTTCTTTTTGACGCTTATCTTCTAATTTATTTGATTAGTCTAATTATTTCTACAAATTAATGCCCTCCAGAGATAAGTCAGTTTATGGTATATATTTATATGTGTTATTTATTATACATAATTTATTTACATTCATTTATAACTAGACCAAATAGCGAACAATACAAATATATATATACTGAAAATTAAAAATAAAAAATAGAAGACTTAACAGATCAGATACAGAAAACACTTTTACGCAGAAACAAAAAAATCTATTGTAGGTACACTTACTAATTCTAAGAGAGGATTTAACCCCGATGCAAAAGTGCTAAAGTGGTTTGCAAGTATTTTAGAGTAAAGTATGAGTAAAAAAATAAAGGTAACTACAGCATGAAATGCAAGAAGGGATCTTACAACAATCAAGAATCATTCAAAATATCCTTTAGAATTGAGCTGGAATTGCGCGACGGTGCAAAGTCATTCACCAGTAGGGGCTGGATAGGAATGGGCGCCGGCATGCTGGCGGTCCCAGCAGCTGCACCGCTGTTGCTCGATGTGGATACGCGGCGGGCGGACTGACTGATTGATCCTGCTGGCGGATTACTTTGTTGAGTGATGTTCAATAAATTGGGCATGTTAGCGTCATCGAGCTTAGGCTGTGACTCCTGCTCGAGAAACTGCACAAACGCCTGCACCAAATTCTCCTTGGAATGTACACCTGAAAACGGAAAATGGAAATTTTAGCCATAGTTTGATCTCAAAATCTCTCATAGTCTCCTTCAGAAAGTGTGAATGTTACCTTGCGCGCTTGCACCACCGCCCAGTATGGCGCCCAGCCAACTTGACTGCTGCTTGTTCAGGCCCACTTTGTCCGATTCGCTTTGCGAGAAGTCCAACACAGACGAAATCATGCGCAGCACTTGATTCTTGTCATTCGGATTGCTGCTCACCACATAGCCGATCAGCAAGCTCTTTATGAGACTCTTCTCTATTTTGTCCGACTGACTAGACTCGCTCAGCTTCAGCTTCGTGGATAGCTGCTCATTCTGCTGCTTCAGTGTTTCAACTGTGAAGAATATATATACACGTAAACGAGTGATGTTAATTCAAGTAATGGCGGAGATAATAAACAAAAATAAAATAGGAATTATATTAAAATATATAAATCATTTAGTGAGTTAATTTTCCAAGCACTTCTCTTTGCAGGCATTCATCTTTCGTTTAGTTTATTTTTGCTTTTGTTTTCGATTAATTTTTCCAGCGTTGTTATTTCGCATGCAGAATTGGGCGAGGCATCCAGGACAGTATGACATAAGTACTGGTAGATTTAACAAGCGATAGCACACCAGTACCTGATGTAATACTCAACCGGACGATCGCCTTTAAGGAGCCGAGTGGCACATTCAGCATTCGTTGTGAGAGGAGCGGGCTCGTATATTTTAAATGAGGGAATTCAAGGTTTGGAACGTGGGAAGCTTCTTTACATTTCTTCACTTTAATTTTGTTACAATTTAAAAAATGGTATTGGGTACAGTGGTGGCAAAAAGTGTATGGCAGAAAACGCAGGCAATGTATGCAAATAATTATGAAAGTACCAAATCAAATCAAATTAAAGTAAAAATTAACTAAAACCAATTCAAATCAAGTGTCTTTTAATTGTTTATATAATAAATAATCATCAACAACAAGAACAGTAGAACAAAAACAAAATGTAGAAACGGATGCAACCTCGGGCAATCTCCATATGCAACGTGAGTTCAGCATATCGAATTCGCTCACAGTTACAAATTGAGATTAACCAATTTTGCATTGGACACTAGGGACGCCAAAAAGTAGATAAATCGAGTAAATAAATGATAAAACCAAATATGAAAAAAATCAAATTACAAATCAACATAAATTATACTGATTATTAAGTACAAGTAGTGGAACATAGGCGGAAGAAACTTAAAGAGCAAGTGACTAGTAACTAAAACGGTAAATTCGAAATGAAAAATCGTGTATTGAAAAGGACCTAAACAAAGAAAACTGTATTATAGAGATTTTAAAAATATAAATGCAAACTAAATAGTTTATTGTCTGGTCACGTTTACCTAAAACAATAAAAAATAATAATTTACTAACATAAAATTTCTAAAAAATAGAAATTACAAAGTTAAGCTTACGAAAGTATTGAAACTGTAACTATAACGGCTTATTAGCGTGATAGCAATTAAAAAATCGAAAAGTAATGAAGCAAAAACGAAAGAAATACAAAAATACCTTTAAAGAGTTTTGAAATTGAGTTAAAAACTCAATACTTGAAATAAGTCAGTTTATTGGAAAAATTATTTATATAAAAGCAGCGCTAAAGTGATAACAAACTTTATACTGGTGTTCGATTTCAATTTTTTAGCTGAAACCAAGCATAAAGTAGATATTTACTGGTTTCATTACCGTTTTCGAAGAAAGAATATAACTGAAATTGTCTAGAGAATTACTATATTTTAACTATAACACTAATTTCCACATATTTTCCCCAAAATGTAACATTCTGGAGATAACAACAACTATGGCTGCTTCACGTACCATATTTATTTGTGGTATTCAACTTTTTGTGAGACGAAACGAACAGCAAATGCTAAGAACACTACTTGGATATTTAAGCAGTGAATAACTTTTCAATTTGAGCTATAATAATTGAAAAATTTTTAGCGGTTCTATTTTCTCTTATCTGTTAAATTATTATTTTATTTCTACATATACGGTCTTATCCACAAAGTCTTGTCTACTCAGAAATATAACGAAATATAATGAAAAGCTTAAAGCTTTTCACCGTAACCTCACTCTATAATGATAGGAGAGGAAATTTAACTAAACTAAAAGTAATAACATTTTCTAATTAAAAAAAAGTATAGCTTACTACTACTTTACTTATATCTCGACTGAATGCAATAAAAATGTTAGTATGTATGTAGCTATGAATTTGTGTTATGTAGTAAAAACCAAAGGGTAGCATAAAGTCGCCAAGTAAATCAGAAATTTCCACACCGTCAAACCTGAAGTACTGCCAGCTCAGGTCATAGGCCACTTAGCGTTTGTACGCGCCAGCGGTGGTCGTCGGTGAGATGATCGCGAAAGCGCAAGCATAGTTAGGGTGATCGATTATGGATTTCTTATGAGCATAGCGAGTGTGACAGTGAATGATGACAGTGATTTCATACAAATTTCTTGTTATTATAATTATACAGCGAACTAGGTTATGACTTTGATAGATATGGTGCTCTTGGTGTTGTGATGATGCGCATGATATTTATATATTTTTGTGATTTTTAAACATTTTTTGTTGGGCTTTTGTTTTGCATTGCGATGACTACATAGAATTCGTAAAAGTGTATACCAACTGAAATTCCGAGTGTTYGAAAATTGATAAAATCCCAGAATTACCAGCTGATATTTACCTTTAAGAATCAATCAGCGTGGCTTAAGGGAAACTTTAACTTTGCAACAATTGTTAACAATTCAATAGATTTTTTGTTATCATTAATAAACATTATTCCTTGTAGTTTTTCTTTAGTATTTTCCTCAAAGCGTTAATTATTTAGAAATAGTTAAACGGTTCGTTAATGCCAAATGCCAGTTTGCGTGCTGTTATTGAAGATTTCCCTTATGGCTGACGTGGTACTTGGTGGTAGGGTGCTTTGGTGGTTAGTAACAACAAATTCCATTTCATTAATTTGCATTTAATATATATTATACGGATACATACGTGTATAATCACATATGGTTATTTGCTTTGGGTTAGTATACAAGATGCAGTTCACCAATTTTCGTTTACTTTTCACCGGTTTATTTACAATTTATATACGTTTTGATATGAACACCATATTCACCTTCTTCGCGCAGCACTGCGATTGTGCGCTGACACGCCTCCAACTGGTCGCCCAGCCGTGCCGCGGCGCACAGGCCCTGCTTGGCCTCGCCCAGCTGCTGCTGCAAGGCGCCGATCTCCGCTTGCAACTGCGCCTGCTTCTGCTGCTCCCGCTGCAACTCCTTACGTATGCTGTGGGTGGCAGCTTTGATGTCGTTCTGCTTGTCTGACGGTGCAAAGAGGGAAAAGTTTTAGTAAGTGATAGCACATTTAAGCTAAGTCTACTTAATTTGAAATAATATTTTTACTTCCGTCGATTTGCCAACTCACCATTTTGGAACTGCTCGAGCGCGCACTGCAGATTGCACAACGCCGCCTGATTCTTCGACTCTCGATCTTCGGCCAAGCTCAGCTTGTTCACTAACTCGTCGCGCTGCTGTAGTACAAGGGCGTACTGCGCTTGTAACGTCTCGGCATGCTGATTGGCGCGTATACTGTGGAAAATTGAAGAATGCGTTAGTTAAATTTATTTTCTTAGAAATTATGATAGCCCTAGGTGCATAAATATAATTTGTTTTATGGCCATTACGAAACTAATGAATTGCCTTGAAGCGTACCAGCGCTGCTGACCCGGGGAACAATAACCGGCGACCGACCACCGATCGCCGCGTGCCGTAATAGGTCCACTCGCTCGCGCAAGTGTTCTAATTTTGCTGTGGCATTGCAAATGCGCATTGGTTGCAGTTGTACTAATGGCTCAGAAGCAGCAGCAAGTGCCAAACGGCTGTGCTGACACCGATCGCACTAAAAAATCACCTGCTGCCCTCTGGCAGCACCTGCACCGCCGCGCTGCCGAACTCAACTAATTTCGAACGCTTTGTGACACGTTATCGCTTTGCAAAGCAATTGCCATGAGTCGTGACGAAGCTTAACGAAAGGCTTAAAAGCGATAACAGTTACTATTGCTGCTGTCGCTGTTGTGTGGTTGCCTTGTTGCCGTGTGCGCCGGTGCAATAATGGCGTAAACCGAAGAAAAACAAACAGAAAGCACGGCAAAGGCACAGGCACGATGACGAAACGTCGGTAATTTCATGCTCCGCCAATGTATACAGTCGTTGCTGCCGTTCGGGTGTGTGTGCAATGTGCTGGCTGGCTTTGTCTCGGTCTTGGCGCTGTATGCGCTGCCCAACCCCGCCGCTTGCGGACGCTTCGAGCTGAAAACATATTGTTTGCCCGATAATTAGGTGATAATTTTTACTATACTTTCAAGGCGTTTTCTATTTTTAATGCTTACTGTACCCGCAATGCCCAGCGCGCAACGCGCAACGCGGCAGGTGGAGCGAAATAATACTCGTATCTCAGTTTGTGTAAATACATAAGCAGACAAACAAAGATGTGTGTATGTGTATACTAACACTTGAGTACACAACGCCGAGTATGGCGTTACCAACACAAATATATCCACATAGAACTTATAAATTTCATAAAAGCACGTTTCCCCATTTCAATGCAATTTAATTACTTCGAAATATTCCCATTTTGTCCACACCTCTATTCTATTTACCATTCTTTTCAGCAAAATATATTTTAAAGCACATTTTCTGGAGTTAATTCCTAAAATTTGGTATCCACCGAACGATAAACTCTTTCGAAAAATTTAGACCACATTCATTATTTGCCCCCCGCAATGAGCTTCTTGATCCTAAAATTACACAGCAAACCCACAAAAAAAGTTTTTAGACCTTTACTCTCTTACTGAAAACTTCTTCAAGAATCACCTCTCTTAACGAAAAACTAACAAAAGCCAACATGTCTAACTTCCTATTCATCACAGCACGCACCCGATATTTTAATTACCTTGCCGATGTGTATGCATTGCTTGATTTCGCCACGTCATCCTGCAGCGCAACCATTTTCGCCTTGGTCTCCTCCAGCTCCCGCTGCATTTCGACCGTCTCCTGTGTGTGTAGGTCTTCGATCTCCAGCAAATGTTCTCGTAGTCGCTCCAAATCCTTACGAATGGCTGCGTTCTGCTCTTCCACCTCCGTCTTCTCCTGCTTCACCAGCCGCTGATTGGTCTGCTCCGTCAACAAATTGGTCGTTAATATGTCGGACTTCTCTTTGAGGAATTTTATTTGATCCTGCTGCTTTTCCAACTCTTTACGCAAGTCGCTGAGCGTGCTCTCATGCGTCGTGCACTTAGCACAAGTTGTCGCTTGAGTGGTTTGTAGTTGCTGCTGTTGCAGGATTCCCTGCAAGCGTTGGATTTCGGTGTAGTATTGCATGTTCTCGGCATGCTTCTGCTGCAACGCCTTAATCATTTCGTTCTTCTCGTAGTTCAACGTTGCGACGGACTTCTGCAGTTCAACTGTTGCCAAGAGCTCGGCTTCCAGTTGGGCAATGCGTGTGATTGCGGAGGCATCATTGCTGGTGGATGTGACAGCTGATTCTTGCAACGCCTTCAGCTCGTCGCTATGCGCTTCACACTTCTTCTTGAGCTCTTCGAATTCGTTCAGAAGAGTCTCTTTCTCCTGCTTCAGTTGCTTTAACTGTTCGAGATTTACTTTCTGTTGCCGTAACTTTTCACTTAGTTCGTCCTTTGCCTTTCCGCTCTCATCCAGTAGTATACGCGAAGTCTCCAATGCTTTCTCTTTTTCTGCTACTAACTCTTCGAGTTCGTGCACTTTACCATCGGACACATTCAAATTGGCTTGAGCTTGCAGCAATTTCTTCTTCTGACTTTCTAGCACTATGTCTTTCGCCAATAAGTCCTGCTTTAACTCGTGATTAAGCGAAGTGAGGTTATCGAGTTTCTTCTGCATTTCACTGCTAAGATCCTCTTTCAGGTTTTCGTCTAGGCGCTTTATTAGCATATCTTTTTCCAGAAGACATTTTTCGGCTTCCTCTCGTTTCATTATAGCTTCCTGCAATGCTGTTTTCTGTGTCTGCAGGGCCGCTACCAAATCCGCGTGATCTTTGCTCAGATGCGCCAATTGGCTCTCTAAATTTTGACATTTCTCCTCGGCGCTCTTCAGTAGCACATCGTCGTCAGTTTGCTTAGAGTCCAATGATTTCTGCTCGTTCAATTCGAAAAGCATATTTCCCTTTTCGATTTCCAATGTTTCAAGCTGTATTTTAAGCTCTTTCTCAGCACTGCGCAATTCTTCACACTGTGTTTGGGCGGCGCGCAATTGCTCAGTCAACGTCTGTTTCTCTCGCTCGAGCTCTTCGTTCTTCTCTTTCTGTTCTACGTATTCCTGCTCTAACGTCTCGTTCATTTTCGAGGCTTCTTCTAACTCGGCTTCTAAATCCATAACGCTCTGCTCATTGTGCTCCTGTATCGTCTCGAGCTTGTTGCGCTTATAGTTCTCTAACTCGTTCAGCAGTATCTCGTTGTTCTTCATTAGCTCATCACATTGTAGTATGTATTGTGAAATGTCTGCTTCTAGCGTCTTTTTCTCATGGTCCCAAACTAGTTTACTATCCTGCAGATCGAGTAGTTCTTCGGACAAACGAGATATTTTGCGTTCCATTTCGTTAACGGTTCTAGTAATACGTTCTTGCACTGCCCGACAGGCCTCCTCCATTTCACCGGTGAGTTTTGACTTGATGTGTGAGCTAAGCAGCTCTTTTATTTTGTCAACAGTCAGGGGCTCATCGTCGTCGGCATCTAGATCAGTGATTTCTTGCTTCTCTTCTGCAATGGCTTCACTAAACTTCGAATGTGCTATAGACTCTATTTCGGCGCGCAAGGTTTCGTTTTCCTCATTCAATGATTTGATGCGTTCGGCTAACTCCGCGCTGTAATTCTGCGTCTCGGTTTCGGCTTCTGCATTCAGGCGTAATTGTTGATTTTCCACTATGAGATTTTGAACTTTACTTTCTAACTCTGTGATTCGCTCCTGTGTAGCACGCACTCTCTGTAACTCTATCTGAAGAGTTTCTTTTTCACTCTCGGAAAACAACAGTCTCTTCTCCAGTTCTAAAACGTTCTGCAAATTTTCCTTCATATTTAATATCTCTGTTTCGATCTTGCCTTTCTCCTCGGCCAAAGCTTTTAATTGTTGTTGCGCGATGACAGCTTCCGCCGCCTTTTCTTTCAAAGACTCCAAATTTTCTTGTTGTTCTTCGAGTTCTTCTCTTGCTAACTTGAGAGCTGTATCAGTTTCTTCACAACGCGTCCGCAGCTCTTGCACATTCTCACGCATTACCGTCAACGCCAGCTGTTTCTCCATCTCACTGTCCTGCAGTTTTAGCGCTAAACTGCCGTTTTCCAATGTCAATTCTGAAACGCGATTTTCTAATTGCACAATCTTGTCCTTAAGCTCCTCCTTTGTGGGCGGCGTGGCTGGACCAGATGAGTTGGCATCACCGTCACGCACCACAATGAATTCGTCGTCACTGTGTTTGCCCATTGAACTGGTTGAAGACTCGGATGTTTTCTTCTCTTTTACTTGCTTTGCATCCTCTAGCTCTTTCGTTAGCTGGTCCACACGCTGTTGTAGCTCCATCAGTTGGTCTGCAGACTTATCTGCTAGGCGCCCAGCTGACTTAACCTTTTCAATTAATTCCACATTATCTTGCGTCTTCTTATCGAGCAGCGCCTGCAAATCGGCCATGTCTTCAATGGACTTCTTTACCTCGGCTTCATAGTTGGTGACCTGCATCTGCAACTGCTGGTTCTCGGACTCCAAACCTTTCTGCTGCTGCATCGTACTATCCAACTGCTTCTTTAAACGCGCCATCTCGAGTTCACTGTTAATGAATTTGTCAGCGTGCTCCTTTTTCAAGGCCTCATAGCTAGTGGTGACAGCACTGAGTTTCTCCTGAAGTTCAGTTTTCAGCTCAAGCACATTCTGCATGGCCAGATTATGTTGACTATCCAACTCATCGAGAGACAAACTCAGCTGTTTATTCTCCTCCTCCAACTGCTTGTTGCGCTTCTGTAGCGTAGCGGTCTGTTCATTGGCACCACGTTTCCTGGAGGAAGTCTGCGCGCTATGACCCAGCGGTACCTCCTCCAGGGTAATGTTGACCATTTCATTGCCATTGCCACTGCTCGAGGATTGGGACGAGTGGTCGTTGTCGAATTTGACGCTATCTGGCTCCCAGCACCAGCTATCTTCGAGCGGAGGCGACGCATTTTGGTCCTTCGTAGGCTGAAATGCGCAGAAAGAAATTGTTACAGATTAAATATTAGTTTTAAATTTAGTTGGGTAAGTCTGTTAGGGTTAGATATGCTCTTTACGAAGGTCTGGCCGTGCCAAATAAACATTTTTATAAAAAGGAAAAATATATGTATCAAAAATAAGAAACAAAATAGAAAGTTAGTGTTGCTGCTTATACAAGTAAGAAGCCATTATGATGTTCTGAAGAGAGAGGCAAGGCTTAACACTTAAACGTGGTTCTTCAAAACTCCGATTACTAAAAAGTATTGGAGAAGGAACTGAGCCATACCCCGAGGCAAATGGAACAAGACACAAGAATTATGAAAGACATTTAAGTTTGGTCAATTCTCTACTCGAACCCAAGAATTCTTCAACTGTGTGCATCTAATCTGGCCAATTCTCACAAGTTGTTCCACTGTGAGCCCGTTCAAAGCACTTGGCTTTGCAGCATCATCCCGTTTTTATCTCCCGTGGCTTTATTTCGTACCAAAGTGCATAGGTAAATACTTGGATAAGCATGGGTACGTAGGTTGCGTGCGAGTTCGTCAAGCTCGCGTCCGTTTTCGAGTGTGCGTGCATCTCTGCCCAGTCGTTCCGCTATTTTCGAAGTCATTCAAGCGACATGAAATGCAAAGGCATTGACGACAATCAGCCAGCAGCAGCCACAGCAAAAATAAAACTGGCGGCCACAATGGCAACAACAGCGACAGCGGTCAACAAGTTTGCACAGTAGCCGTGGACGCCGCAGCGGCATTGCAATTTGGCTCGTCATACACCATTGTGCGGAATAATTTCACTACTACTTATATTAGCCACCGGGCGAAAGGGGCTTACACATACATCTAGTTGTATGAACCTAAACAAAGCACATAAAATATACAGCAAAACTGCTGGGTTTTTAAAGAGGCTTCAGGCGCCTTAGCTACGTTTCGAGAATCGGCTTTCGGATACTGCATGAACACCAGTCACATGGCTCACTGGGCTACACAGGCCACATTGTAGCGTTTATAGACAAGCCGACGTGCTCAAACCGCTTTCGACCGCTTTATGAGCGTGCGACTGTTGTTCTCGTTGAACGTTGACTTTGGGGGCAGTTAAAGAAGATGAATTTGCTTAAGGCATTTAGAGAGCTTAGCGAACATTAAGCGAACAGCATATGACCCCGCCCGAGCCAACTAATAGAAAAAGTCTTCCCACCACCTGCAACAACAGCTATTGGGTTAGTTCAGCTATCCATCCAAGTTATGTTTACTCTTTACTTTACCAACACACACACACACATACGTAAAGCATAAATTGCGCAATGCACTTTGGTAAGCACGCGCATGCGTGCGCTTTTGCACGCGGTACAACTGGGTCAACTGTAATTGCATGCGAAGCAAAGCAATTGTAATGGTCACCGCACTTGCAACACGCCCGTTGTTCTGTGCGCCTCAAGCCCGGCTAAGTCAAGGCCCTTTGTGCGAATAAAATTGAGTTGTTTTAACATAATTTTTATTATCTGCAACGCGCCGCACGCTTGCCCACAAAGTAGAAATGAAAGAATGTGTTTTCAGCTGAAAAAACCATTGACTACTTATACTCACACATACTACATAAATTTATACATACAAATACCAAGAAGTGCCCAAAACAATGAAGCTCAAATATTAGCTTCCTTCGACAAACAAAATTTCATTTCGCAAAGCAAAAGCAACAACAAAAACATAAGTACTTTGTATACATGGTAGTTAGTTTGACTGGGAGCTGTGCACTTGACATGGCTGCTGTTTTGTCAGCTAGTTAAGTCAGTGAGCAAATAGTTGCTTAATTACTAAACAGAACATATTACTGGGAACACCCAAAAATTTCAAAGCAAATATGTATGCATCCAAACTGTTCAAGTCAAAACTTTGAGCTCATTTATGGGTCTTTAGCAGTTTGGGATTTTGAATATTATTTTTCCGTTATTTCAACGTTTTAAATGAAATTGAGTCAAATCAAATACAGTTCATAATATAACTAAAAAAAGTACATGATTGCAAGTAGTTATGTAAATATTTAAACGTCTTAGCATACTTAGGAAGTTAGTTCGTCGCTACCGACAACTGTATTTACACTGTTCTTAAGTCCTCTCTCGAGAAGAAATTCGTGCGGTTATCGGAAATCTGCCAGCGTTTTATACATACACGAAGACTGCTGATGTGAAGGGTAAAACTCGCTACGCTAGTCTCCGATTTTCATGCTCAGATGCAAATCAAAAGGTATAACTTACTAAACAAAAGTTCTGAGTTTCTAACGACTATTTAAGGCGTTAGGTGGGTTTGAAAATTAAAAAAAAAAATCGATTTTTTCTTCTTATTAAATGGTACAATATTTTAAACACATTCTTCCAAAATTTTTAATCTATTCGAGTAAAATTGTAGGAGATAGACCCTTCGGAAGTTCCGTCTATAAGGACACGTTGGTGTTGCGCTTAAACTTTAAATGCGTTTTTCTCAAAACTCCATTTTTTAAGTCCTCGGACACGATTACTCGAAAATTTATGGACCAATTTATTCCGAATTGGGTACACTTCTTTAAAACGACATTATTTAGTTATTGAATGAAGGATTTTTTTTTTCATTACAGCTTATTTTTATAAACCAATAAATGGCGAAAATTTTACCAAAAAATTAGATTTTTGGTTCAAACTCTGAGGAAAAAATTATATTTTTAATTTTTATTCTTCCTTCAAACACGAGATTTATATATGTAATAACGGAATATTTTTGTTTTTTTAATTTTGGATGAACCACTCTCTTTTCTGAGACACCCCGGGAGATGAGGTCTCAACGGCTGAATTTTCAACATTGTTGGGCCAAAATTTCTGGAGACATTGTTCAAATATGTAACTTTGACAATTCCATTTTTCTGGTTTGAGGTCAGAACAAAGTTAATATTCCAGTTTAGAAAAAAAAAATTTTTATACAAACTTTTAACAGTTCAAGCATATGTCTGCAAAAGTACTTTTGTAAATTCGAATTATTTTCGGAGATATACAGGTACGGCCGGAACTGAAACTTTAAACGCGTTTACTGAAAAATGTATTTTTCAAAACGATACCCACAATTTTTCAGACTCTACTAGACCGATTTACCTGACATTTTTAAAGAGTTTTGTTTATAGACTAGTCTATGCCTGAATATTAAAAAAACAAGTAGTACTGAAATTGTTTTTTTTTTAAGCCATTCTTGAAAAAAAAATTTCAAAACATTTCTCTAGTTGCAGGGTTGAAATAGTAAGTAGGTTAGAGGGCTGATCAAAGATCGCACGTGGACTACCTTATGTAGCCCTTTGTGATGCCATAAAAAAGAAGAACACCTAAGAAATGCTCACCCAAGTGCTTAAGTCTTGACCTCCCAAGTTGTTTCCACCTAATCTTCTTCCATGCAGCTTCTGCAGATGGCGTATAGTAGGATTTCTAGCTTTACGGCAATGGGCCGTTAGATCACTAGATCTCCTGCGATCAATATTGGATTGAATTGGCGTTTGCGACAGCGCATAAACCGATTGTGTCCCAGCACTGACCAAGCAGTAGAACACAAAAATATACGGCAGCACCGATCCGTTCTATTTCTACCGATTGCGGTTCTAGGATGCCTTTTCTTGCTAGCTCGTCACCTTTACAGTCTTCTGTGATTCCGCTGTGGCCTGCCCCCCATACCAGTCTTATCACAAAGCCACTCCATGCTATTGTTAGCGATGTTAGGCACTCTTCGACCTGCGCTGAACACACTAAACCGTAGTTATAGGCACACACAAATGCATTTTTTAGTTAGAGCATTTTTCAAAAGCACAACTTTTTTTATTTTAGCGAAGACGCATACCACCAAATGCCTTCTTCAAAAGTATTGCGAAACTTTTTTTTTAATATCAAAGCGCAGTGTGTTTAGGTCGTATTTAGTAATAACGACCATTAAAAGAGCACAAAGCAACCTTGAAACACGCTGTAACTGTACTTTATCTGCTTAACTTTGGAAGCAGCCAGTGGCTGAAGCATATTATATAAATACATAAATATATTATATTTATAGCCCAAACATTTTTTTGCCTTTGTTTAAATATATACGTTCACCCATACAAACGCACATCTACAAATTTGCATATATATTAACTATTTATTGGAGCGCTCCTGATAATTGCGATTTTTACGAGGAACGCTTTGGAACAAAGCCCAGATAAAATGAATGACACCCACAAAAAAATACAACAAAATAAAATTAGTTCATTACACCATTAAACTCATATATATATATATACACACATGCCTAGTATATATTCCATGAATATGCTATTAATCACCCTTTAGAGTGTGTGTGTGTGAACACATAGCCTCTCCATTCTAGAGGTTTTTGTTGGAGTTGTGGCTTTTAGCTTTGTATGCACGTTCGCCATATTTTGTGCAATTACGCGTACAATTTCACCACCTTTTCGCGAGCGCACTAATTTCAATTAGCACCTCACCAGTTTTTGCTTTCATTCGTTTGTATTTTTTGTGCCTGTCGTTTATCTATAATAAAAAAGCGCATATGTGAATTTGCCTTTGCGCTTATCGGCGCTGGCGGAAAGCAATGAATACATAAAATACAACTCTGAATACACGCACACACATAGACAGGCAGACATACGGACAGCAAGTGAACTCATTTCTAAACTTGAAACCTTCGCTTCGCATTTTTTTCGTTTCGGCACTGTAGCTGCTAACTTTTTAAGATTTCTTAAGACAAAGGTTGGGTCCAAAAAGTCTTTTCGTATTTTGTCAATAGAGCTATCGTTAAAAAGTCGATGAAATTATGGAAAAGATTGACCAGAACCGTCACATAAGCAGCCATGATATTGCTCAGGAACTTAACATTCATCACCAAATGGTTTTAAACCATTTAAAAAATGCTGCTAATAAAAAGAAACTCGATATTTGGGTACCACATGAATTGTCTGTGAAAAGTTTAATGAACCAAATACGATTCTTT